ACTATAGGCAAACTTATATATGGTGTTGTGGACAAACATAACAGGCAACAGGCAGAATGGCAGACTAGAACCTTAAGTATAACTAAGGTCAAGCTTCCAGGCTGTTTCCTTTGAAAAATGTGCATCAAAATTCACAATTGTTTGTGAGAAGAAAATAAAATGCATACTGTATGCACATCTCCCATGGGTGTACGTTGTCATCTCTAGCTACCTGTGTTTTTATTTAACTCCCTACTAGACTATAAGTCACGTTTCAAGGGTAGAGTTTTAGCTTAACCTTTTTATCTCTTTTAGCACCTAGTTAAACCTTGAACACAGTAGGTGCTAATTAGTTGTTGATTGAATTTGATTGTCCTGAAAGAACTTTGAAAAGCTCTCTAAAATTATTATTAATATTGGTAAGAGTGCTGATAATCATCTCTACCAGCATCAACCAGCATCAGCCAGTTTATCCTGTACGTATCTTGTTATACATGGTTGTTTGCATGTTGTCTTTCCCATTAGATTTTGAGATCTTTGAGTACAGGGACTGTTTTTATCTTACTTTGTATCCCCAACAGTTAGCACAGAGCCTGGGGCATAGAAGTCACTTAATAAATGCTTGTTGTCTCAACTTCACAAGCCACAAAACATAGGTCATACCTTTACTTTTGTATCCGTGCGTGTAAGTATAAGCAAATCCTGAAGCAGAAATCTCAAACTAAAGGCCATTATTACCCCCTACTCTAATGTTTAGAATACTAGCCCAGGTAGGGACAGTTAATTGTTAGGGTAGTCAGGGTTTTTTTTTTTTCTAATTAACAACGACAAATAAAAAAGCTGTTTCAGCTTGTAAGAGGAGCTAAAGAAACATTGTGAGATTCACCTGTAAAGTTACATGACTCCTCCCAGGGTGTAGAGGTATTGCATATTTATGTAAGCCCAGGAACAAACACCACAAAAGGATGCATGGTATAGTGAATAGAGCCTTGAACTTTGAATCAGGAAGAGCTAAGTTCAATTTCTAGCTTCAGACACTTACTAGCCATGCCTCTGGAATGCTGGGTGAAGTACAACCTCTGTGAGGCTGGATTTTGTTTCCATATATAAAATGGGGATTATAATACCTGCACCTACAGAGTTGAAGTGAGGATTAAGTGAGGTAAAATACTTTGCAAATCTAACAAGTGGTTTAACTGCCTGCTATGTACCAGGATTACAAAACAAACCAATAAAACAATTTTTGCTTTTGAGGAGTTTACATTAGATAGGCAGGGGTGAGGGTGAGAAAGAGATGCACATACCTTAAAGCTTTCTATAAATGTGAGCTTTCAGTCAATGCTGGCTCATATCTCTGTGTAAACACAGTCACAAATGTAAGAAAATTGTAGGACTTGGAGCTAGAAGTTACCTTAGAGATCAATTAGTCCATCTCCCTCACATTATAGGTGAGGAAACTGAGGCTCAGAGCAGTAAAGTGACTTAAGCCTAATGTCACACAAGTATGAAGTTAGAAGAACCAACATTCAAACCCAGGGCCTCTGACATCAAACCCAGTAGTCCTTCCTCTCTACCCTTCTGCCTAAATACCTACATGCTATATGTACCCATTCTCCTCTCCCACCTTCCAAAGTCACATTTTTCGCACCCTAGAAGATCTTGAAGCTTGTTGGACTGTGCTGGGGAATTCCATTCTTCATTAAGAGCAGGAGTCTTCCAGCACACCAAGAATCTGAGAACTGCAGGCCTTGGAGATCACTCCCTATCTGGTAGCTTCAAAACTGAATGAGATGCTGGAAAAGTGTATTTCCATGCAAAGGAGCTGCTTCTTCCTCTCCCCAAATGAAAAATACCTTTTCAAAATCAGTGGTAGATCTGAAATAGTCTTGAAATCCCTTTCTTGGACTCTACTAATACTTGAGGATGGCACAAAAGTGTGGAGTGTACAGTGTCAGGTTGAAAGAAATTGTGATAACTTCCTTTCCTATATGGCAGGTCTTTCTCTTTATCGGCACCTGCTTCCTAACCATAGATAAATATGTCTGGTTATTATTATTATAACAATATGCATTTCAATTAAGCTGTAAGGTATCCTGATTTATCATATATAGTACTGAATCTGATTAAACTGGATTGGAGTCCATCTTGGCCTCATTCTAGCTGTGTAGCTATAGGTAAATCATTTCCCTTTTCTGAACCTTATTTTCCTCATCTGCAAATTGAAGCTAAGTTATTAACCTTCAGTATTACAACAGTGCAGTGTTAACCAATAGTACCTACCTCACTATTTTAAGGCTTGCCTAAGATAATGTGTGCAAAGCTACCTACAAACTTTAAATCTATAGAAAGTTTAATTATTATTACGAAGTATTTTTTTTTCTCACAAGGTAACACTGCAAATATTACTAGCCTTATTTTTGCAATGTAAAGAAAAGGAGGCTTAGAGAGCAATTATATAGCTTGGAAGTGTTCCATCCTGGCTTGGAACCTAGGTCACCTGACCTGATCCTGGTACTCTTTATTAAGAAAAATTGTTTCCCAAATAACAATCATAAAGCCATAGATTTAGAACTGAAAGGGGCTTTACAAGCCATTGATTTCAACCTCCTCATTTTACAAATGGTGAAACTGAGGCAGAGAGCAGTTACATGACTTGCCCAGACATAGTTGGTAAGTGTTTGAGGTGGTATTTGAACACAGATCTTTCTAATTCCAAGTCCAGTTCCCCACTGACTACACCAGATTGCCTTATTATTCTCTTCCCTTCTCCCAGCACTGTTCAGGCTTCAAGTGTGTGTGTGTGTGTGTGTGTGTGTGTGTGTGTGTGTGTGTGTGTGTGTGTGTGCGCGCGCGCATGGGAGTGCACTCGAGAGAGAGAAAGAGAGGGTGAGAGAGACACAGAGACAGACAGAGAGAGCACCCCTTTCATTAATATAATTTTTGTGTTTTGTGGAGAGTTAGCCTACCATAATAGATAGAGCTGGCCTCAGAGTCAGAAAGATCTGGGTTCAAGTTCTGCCCTGATACTAGGCAAATCACTTAACCAACTCTCAAAGACTACAAATTTGTTGAACGTTTGTCCATATGCATTGGCAAAGGGAGTTTCCTCACTGAGTTCTCTGCACTGATGATGTCACAGGAGCTGACCAAAAGAAGTAGTTTAGTATACCTCTCTGTGCTTGAGTCCTGTCCCTCCCCCTAGACCCCTATATTCCAAGCAGCAGAAGAGCTAGGTTCTAGCACTCAGGCCTGGCTGTGAGGTCACAACCTTGGGTAAATCACTTCTGTGGTTCATCTGCCTCTTAGGGTTGATTATAACTATCTGTCTATCTATCTATCTGTCTGTCTATCTATCTATCTATCTATCTATCTATCTATCTGTCTGTCTGTCTATCTACCTACCTACTTGAGTGTCAGGAAGTTTAACCAAGTCCATGTATGAAGTGCTTTCTTCCATGGGGCTCAAAATTACTATGTTAGAAAGAGCCTCATGCTCTCCCTAAAGTGAAAACTTTTTAGAATACAGAAACCTCTAAAATCTTCCTCTCCTTGACCTCAACTTTTTTTCACTTTTACATTTTCTGAGATAATACCTTGAGATCATTTATTCCACACCCTCCCCACCCCCAACAGAGGTGGTGAAAGGGATGCATTAAGGGGACAGAGCCACAAGAGAGGAAATGAATGATCTTTTCTCTAATCCATCCATTGAGACACGTGTACGTGTGCGAGAGAGAGGTCTGGATTCTAGTAAAGTCTAATCCCACTTCTGCCCTAGCTGTGTAAACTACTTACCCTCTTTGGGGTTCACTTGCCTCCTCCGTGAAAGATACGATTCTAATAAATTTCGATTCTTTCAAAGAAATGATTTGGCCTCTAAAGTGATAAGACTCCACCGGGGAAAGTTTGCTATCCAAATTGCCTAGAGCTAAGCTTTGGACCAATTTTCCCTACCTTCTCTTCTCCTTTCTCAGGTAAAGAGACTTAACAATAACACGCGTTTCCATAGTGCTTTAAGGTTTATAAAGCTCTAGCCTCCCAAGACTCAGCGAGACGTTATTATCCCTATTTATTGTTAAGGAAATTGAAAAGTTAAGTGACTCGCCCATCATACAGATAAGTAGCCGAGAAGCTATGTTAGGCAGACTCGAAATCTATGGCTTTTTCAACTGCACCAGAATAATTAAACAACTGTCCACATCATCAACGTTCAGACGAAAATCCAGCTATGGAAGAAAAAGACAGACTTTGGTCCAGAATGCCCTAAATGCACCGACTCCACTAACAGAAGCCATTGCCTCGTTGCCCAAAGCGTCTGCTTGCCCTTGGCTGCTGGCGGCTCACTTTTGGTCGGCAGCCGAACTTCTTGCAGATTAGGTAAAAGACGCCTGCCTCTTTAGGAAGTCTCGGAGCCTGAATACACGGTTTCAGCCCCTAATTACCTTGCTTACCCTGACTGCAAATTGCCTCTCCCCCACCAAGTAACTGGAACCTGGGGGCTACCACCCACTTTTGGAAGAAAAAAAGAGGGAGAGAGAGAGGAGGAGCGTCAGAAGAAAGAAAAGAAAAGACAAGGAAAGGAGAAAAGTCCTGAGAAACACGTTTTGGCAGGCAAGGACTCTCAAGACGACCATGTGTTCTCCATATTGTGAAGTCCCTGCCCTTTGATGTTTTTTTTTCTTCTTCTGAATGTAAAGACATTATTCTTTTTCAAGCCAAGCGTAAGTATTATAGACATTAAAACAATGAGGCCCGGACGAGGCTGACTGTGTTTAACTCGCCCTTCCCCAAAGTGCCTGCTGCAGGCTATCTCTCCTATGTGAGCACTAAGGCAGGGCAGCCAGAGCAGCTCGAGCAGCTCGGTTACTTTCTCCCTAGATAGCCCTGGATTTGTTCGGAACCCTTTAGTGGACACCAAGCTAGGAAAGAAGCATTTTCTCAGAGAAATAGATGAAAACTCTCCAGGTATTTCCTCCTCCAGCTGGACAAGAGGTCTGGTTGGTGTCGAGCATTCTTCTTACCTGGAGGGAACCCCCAAATTCCCAAATATGCTTTCCAGATTCCCAGGGGGCGATGTTGGGAGAGGACTTCTTAAAATAAGGACGCAGTCCAAGGGACTTTCTGAGTTCTCGGAAGCTCCAGTGGGGTGAGATCGTACTCTGACCACCAATGAGGAGGCTCTTCTGCAAGTATTGCCTTCTTGCCTGAAGGACCTGAAAAGAAAAGGAAAAAAAAAAGGTTTCAGTTTATGATGTGAGGAATTATGAATCGCAACCGAAGATCTTTGTGAATTTACACTCGGATCATTGGGGCGTTTGTTCAAATATTCTTTGTCTCTTTGTCTCTGTCTGTCTGTCTGTCTGTCTCTCTCTCTCTCTCTCTCTCTCTCACACACACACACACACACACACACACACACACCCCACCACCAACACATCCACTTTTTACTGTTTTGCTTCCTAACAAGTGATAAAAAGCGTTGAGAGGCTCATGGGTCTAGTCATTTAACCAGGGGCCAGGAATCTAGACCCTTCATTTCTCAATCATTCAGACTGTTCAGAAGGAGAAGATGGACAGTGGACATGAATTCTATTTCGAGAAGTACAGAGCATTGGTTTCTACTCCCCTGTAGGCTCTCTACCAACTTCACCTTTAAGACTGGGGACAGGAAAGGTTCTGGAATCTTTGAGAAGGAGAAAATGATCTGTTCCACTGCACTTTGGATCTGAACTACTTTCCAGAGAGGCCAGCACTACCTAATCTATGTTTATTAGTAATACTGCTACTACTGATGATGACAAAAATCAGGTGGTGTCTGTAAAGCTCTTTGTAACTAACTATAGAGTGTCATATAAACGTCAGCTATTCATAGCAACTCACTTATACGGTGCTTATGTTACTAATGTTGTGAGTGGAGAACTGTGATTTCTTCCTTGTGGGTGAATTCCTGGTGTGGAGAAGGGCTGCCTCTAGGTCGATCCACTGATCCTTTCAAGGAATTTGTGCTGGAGGCATTTCGAGTTTACATGATTTGCCCAGGGCCATACAGTCAATATTTGTCAGTCAGGAATTTATCTAGGTCTTCCTGATTGCATGGCTGACCCTCTATTCACTTTACCACATTGCCACTCTACATAATAATAATAATAATAATAATAATAATAATAATAATAATAATAATGATAATGATAATAGCTAGTGGTTATATAGGGCTTTGAAGCTTACAAAGAACTTTACAAATATCTAATTTTATTCTCACAACCTCACAAATTTATCCTTCACGCCTCCAGCCCTTGGAGGTAGGGGATATTATTGTCCCCATTTTACAGATGAAAAAACTGAGGCAGACAGCAACTAAGTGATTTGGTCAGTCACACAGTAAGCAGGCAGGGTTTGAACTCAGGTCTTCCTGACTTTTGGTAAAAAGCTCTGTCCATTTTGCCACCTAGCTGACTCATTATTACTATATTATCATTAATGATAAAAATGATAGTGCTGACAAGAGGCTTTGTAACTATGAAGTAGTATACATATACAGCTACTATCATTGTCACTAATAAGAGGGTCCATGTAAGGGTACCTTGCTGAGAAACTCCTTTCCTTTGTTTTGCTAAGCAGAAAACTCTACAGTACACATGGCTATTTGGCCCTGGCTGGCTTGGTTCACTGTTACAGGACCTCTTCTCATCTTTACTGCTCCCCCAACTCTTGTTTTGCAAACTGTACAACTGCCAGCGATTTAGACAAAGAGGGTTGTCTCAACTTTGTAGTTTGCTCATTGGGCAGAGCCTTAGTGCTTGCCAACTAGAGGGTAATATAGACAGAACTTGAACTTAGTACATAATAAATTTACTCGAACTCTTGGAAGGATAAGAGAGAGTGCCTGCTCTCTGCATTGGGAAAGAAACCCATCACTAGGAAGGAATGCTCTGGGGACAGGGACATTTAGAGTAAGTCTAGTAAGTCTCGAGTAAATTTAGAGTAAGCTTACCTCTAACCTAGCTCTTGGCTCTCAGAAGTTTGGGACAGCAGTATTTGTTGGGTGGAGTTTGCCAGAACAACTACCCGAGTATTATTAGGGTGAGCTGGGAGCACATACTCCCAATGCCAATTTCTCTTGGACCTCTACTTTGGTTTGCACTACTTCCCCCCCAAGATCGAATTGACAAATGGCCAAGCAAGTAGACAAGATGATTTAGTAGGGGGAAAAAACTTTATCAAGGCAATTTCCTTCAAATCATCTTCGAAAGAGTGTTTTTGTTTTTGTTTTTAAAGAATCAAGAAGACTTGCTTCTGAAACATAATAGCTTTATGACCTTGGGCAAGTCTCTTAAACTCTCAGTGCCTCCTAGAGAACTTTCTAACGCTACAAATTCCAGAGGAGCTGCCCAGCTACGTTGGTGGAGGGAGTTTCCACTCCAGGGAGTTCCTTACATGGATGAAACCACTGTTCCGGACGACAAAATTACATTCGAATAACTGACGGCTTTTAGAACAGTCACTCAGTCCACAACTAATTATTGGAGCGCTCAATGGAGCACTTATTTCTTATATGCAAGAGCTATAAAAGATAGAGACTCATCTGGGTCCTTCCCCAAGGTTAAGTCGGTGCTTTTTAACAGGGAACAGGATTGAGTAGCACTGGAGAAGGCAGTGGGGAACATGACTACTGAAATTCCTTATGCTACATTTGTCCTGGAATGAATCAAAGGCATCAGCGGAAGACTCTATTAATATTGCAACTATAGAGCTGGTTTTCTTCCTTTCTTTGACCCTTCTCTAACCCGAGTCCCCATTCTCGGAGGAGAATTGGCGCCCACAATGTGTTAAAACACATACCCAGAACCCAGATCCAGGTATGGAGACCACATGGTCCTGCAAATAGAGTGAAGAAAAATAATATCCAAAATAAACCAGGTCTGGAGATGGAGGGGGCTGAAAGAGCGAGGCGCAAGGAAACAAACCCAGAGGTAACAACCTCTCAGTCTATTTCTGAAGTCCTGGAAACAGCCCCTCTCAGGATGGAATTCGACCGATTCTGGACGGCTCTTAGGTGTTCCTCAGCCTCCACCAAGGAGGATATTTTGCCTTTGTTGCTTTACATTCTGAATGATCCTCCTATTTCACATGTGAATATCATTTTTGACTTTCCTTAATGTGGACACGCATTCAAGCTCGGATTGTAATGCCGCCATTTAGAACTTAGTAGACTGTTTTAAAGGGCAGTTATGGATGAAAATAGATATATCTGGTGTTGAGGATCGCTAGATTTGGGCTGGTTCTCAAAGGACAGCTAGATCAACACAAACTTCCTCACACAACACACTCAATCACCCACTTCTGCACCTTCAAACAAGCTGTTCTCCTGGCCTGGGAATATATTCCCTTCTCAGCTCCTCCTCTTAGAAACCTTAGCTTCCTTCAAACCCCAGCTGAAGCAGCAATTCCAAGAGATCGTTCTTGATCCTTCAGTTGCTAGTGTCTCCTATTACCTTATAAGGTAATTTAAAAATTATTTATGTAGATATTATCTCTCTCCGCACCTCCCCCCCCCCACTTGTAAGTTCCTTGAGTGCAGGGACTGCTTAATTTTTGTTTTTTGTGTAGTGCCTAATATACGTTGGGTACTTAATAAATGAATGATTGACTGATGAGCTGGCTGATTCCTAAGCCCCATGCAAGACATTACATTCTTTGTAGGGCCTGATTGTGCTCTGCAGGCACAGCATTGAGGAACCCAGAGTCACCTACACGTAAAAGAGACATCCCAGAAGGACTTTAGTAGAGGATGTTTACTTATATTTTGCAAAATTTATGATTTTTTGTCTCAAACAAATGATAGTCTAGAGATTACTGGCTAGGGAAGGAATCCACTAATTCTACTAGGAGAAGGCCCAGGTAGTCTGAATTTGAAGATGCCTTGACTATATTATCTAGGTTCTTCTCCTCCTCCTCCTCCTCCTCCTCCTCCTTCTTCTTCTTCTTCTCTCCTCCTCCTCCTCCTCCTCCTTCTCCTTCTCCTCATCCTCTTCCTTTTTCTTCTTCATTTCTTCTTCTTCCTCTTCTTATTCTCCCCCTCTCCTTCTCCTCCTTCCTTCCTTCCTCTATCTTTTTTTCTCTCTTTCTCTTTCCTTCTTCCTCTCTCCCCTTCCCTCTAAAATCACCGTTTTCAGAATTAGCAACTCAAGTACATCAGTTCAGTCGGGAGGCAGCCTACTGCAAGTATGAAAGAAAAAATGTGAACCAAAATTACAACCACCTAAAGACAGAATAAACACCAGGCTGGGGACAGTAATCTTGGAGGGCTGAGCTTAAATGGATACTCCAGAGGTCTTTGGCAGTGATTCGTGACTCGAAGTCAACGAAAAACATTGTTTTTGAAACATGATCTTGCATAATTCGCACTCGACCGCTGTGGAAATGTATGCAGCATGTTCACTTTCCTTCTCTTCCTCCATCAGCCCCAACCTCTACCTCAATCCTCTGTTGGGGGGAAAAATAAAGCCGAGACTGGTACCATCTGCGTCGCCAAGTGAAGGAGAGGGCTCTGCAAACTGTTGAGCTCAGTGAACTCTGTTTTAGGTTCTCTAACCATGGCCGAAATCATTAACCCTTTAGTTAGGGTGCTGAGGGCTCAGCCCGTTTCTTCTCTTTCCTGACATACCTAACTGCACAACCGTTGTCTCAAAGCTAAAACAATTCCAGCTGGAGGTAGATTGTCCAAGCAAAAAAAGCCTAGGCTTCTTCTGCTTAGTCCGAGCGGGGTTGGCGCAGGCTCTGCAGCTCTTTGGGTCTAGATGAGGGCCCCCGAGAATGCCACCGCTATCGTAATCGCACCTACTCGGAGGATTTCCCGCTTTCAGGGCCGTCACGGGTCCGAGCACAGAACGTTGGCCCGGGCTCTCACGAGGGCGCAGGAGTCAGCAGCCGTCAGCTTTCAGGGAGTCCCGAGACCCCGATCCTCACCAGAAGTCTAGCCATTGCATCGCAACACTAGCCAGGTCCTCGGTGGTGATAATTTCCTGTAAGGAGGAGGAAAAGAATGCTGACCTTCCTAGCTGTGGGATTAGCTGCTGAAGAAGACACCTTGGAAAGACCCACTTTGCTCCTTCCTCCTAACTCTTCCAAAGGGTGGTAGAAAGATCATAGAACTAAACCACTTGGAAAGAAATCCAAAGAATGTAAGGGGTCAGAACCCACACCAGGACAGGAT